TGCCCTCCTTTGCAACTATAGGAGGAGGAGGGTAGAAAAGGAGAGGGGTACATATCCCAACCCAGCCGAGGGATAATAAGCTTAAAACAGTGTTGATGAACCTTTTCGGCACTTAGTGTCGAAACGGGGGCACGAAAGAAACCAGAAGAGCATCCGCCTGGTGCGCATGCGCGCGCCGGGAAGATGATCTTCTGGTTTTCAGCGCACACATGTGCACTGGCCACCTGGTCTTCTGGTTTCTGGCTTGCATGCGCGCACAACGACCAGCTGACCGGTGCGCATGCGTGCACCGGAAACCAGAAGATTATCTTCCCGGCGCATGCGTGCGCACCGGGCGGCTGCTCTTCCAATTTCCGGTGCTCCCACATGTGTGAAGACCAGCTGGCCGGCGCGCCAGAACCCGGAAAAGCAATGGGCAACAGCTCGCATGCCCAGAGAGACGGCTCTGTGTGCCACTTCCGGCACACATGCCATAGGTTCGCCGTCACGGAACTAGGACAAAAACAAAGAGAGAGCGAGGTACTCACCCTACTGCCTTTGGGATCCTCTTGGCTGAGTTGATCCTAGGAATCTTCGGGCTTCTTGATTGCTGGAGGAATCCTTGAAAGCTTTACGGGCCTTGTGTTTATTTATTAAAAATCAAATCATGTCCCAATTCTAACTGAATCCGTTTTTGGCCTAGCTCAGGGGTGTCAAACTCGATTTCACTGAGGGCTGCATCAGGGTTGTGTTTGACCTCGGGGGGTGGGGGTGGGGGCTGGGAGGGGCATGACCGTGGTGGGGGTGGCCAACTCGATGTCACTCAACGGCCTGCTCCAGCCCTCTGCCAGTGAAAATGGAGCTCAGGAGGGCTTCGTGCGGTTCTCCCCGAGCTCCGTTTTCAGCTGCGACGGCATCCTGCAGCCCAGTGGTGGGTTTCTACCAGTTCGCCCCGGTTCGGGCTAACCGGTAGCAGTGGCAGTGGGAGGCTCCGCCCACCCGCCTGGACATCATCACGGATGCTCTGTATATGCGCAAAAATTTCTGCACATGTACAGAAGCGCCACGCACACTCACAGTTCTGAACCAGTAGCGAAAGTAAGTGAAACCCACTACTACTGCAGCCCTCTTCCAGCAAAAATGGAGCTCCGTTTCACTGCCAGAGGACCATGGACCAATCCTTCACTGTTTCCAGGGCGGCCCCGCAGGCCAGATCTAAGCACCCCCGTGGGCCGTATCCGACCCCTGGGTCTTGAGTTGAACACCCCTGGTCTAGCTGAAAGTTCCCCCGTTACCGGTATAGATAATCCTCAATTTACGATCAGAATAGAGATACGGAAAACTTGTCATGGAGAGGTACCGTCATTAAATGAGGCATCGCATGATTGCACCCAGAGTGGTGATCCTTTTTTTTAAAAAAAAACCATGGTCATTAAATCACCATGCTCGTTGAGACATCGTGTGACCATGACTTGAGACTTTCCGTGCTGGCTTTCCCATTATTTTTGCTTTTCGAAAGCCGGCTGGGAAAGTCATAAATGGCCATCGTGAGACGGCAGGACACTGCAACTCTGGTAAGTGTGTAATGGTTGGCAAGCGTCCAAATCACGATCATGTCACCACACGGATGCTCTGATGGTCATAAGTACAAAGATCAGCTGTGAGTCACTTTTTTCAGTGCTATCGTAACTTCGGGATGGTCATTAAATGATTGTAAGTTGAGGAATACCAGTATGGGAGAATGCTATTCATCGACGATTGGTCTTAGAAGCTTGGTTTATTCAAGGTCTTTGGTAAAAACGTACAGGTAATCCTTGTTTAGCAACCACAAGTGGGACGAGCAACGAAGTGGCCACTAAGTGAAATCACAACTGGGCTTGTGATCGGACTTCAACTTTCCTTTGGGTTTACAGACTTGCAAAGGTGACAGATGAAGAACTGGGGGTAAAGTTATTCATCACCGCTGTAAATGTGGACAGTCAATATACAAGGACGGTCACTATACTACCTTGTATAGGGGGCTGGACTAGAAGACCTCCAAGGTCCCTTCCAACTATTCTATTTCTATTCTATTCCATTCCATTCCATTCCATTCCATTCCATTCCATTCCATGTTTTCTACTCTACTCTACTCTACTCTACTCTACTCTACTCTACTCTACTCTACTCTACTCCATCTTCTATTCTGTTTCTATTTCTATTCTATTTGTGCTAAGAACTCAGAGCTACTTTCTGAGCTATGAAGACAACAGTGGGTGCATCATGAAACAGTTGTAGGAGAGAAGGAAGAGGATCAAGACAATAGAAGGTTGTACACATCTTAAAATCATCCTATTTAGTAAATAACTAAGAGCAGGCTGATTAATCCAACTGACCGCCACGCTCTTTTATAGATAAGCATGGTTTAAAATAAAAATACAGGTAGTCCTTGACTTATGACCACAACGGAGCCCAAAACGTCTGTTGCTAACCGAGACAGTTTTTCAGTGAGTTCTATTCCACCTTACAACCATTCTTGTCACTGCAGTTATTAAGTTAGTGACATGGTTGTTAAGTCAATCTGGCTCCCTCATTGACGTTGCTTGTCAGATGGTCGCAAAAGAGGATCCCACGACCCGGGCAAACCGCAACCATCACAAATACGAGTCATTCATTGGCCCAGCCCCTGAATTGCAGTCACATGACCATGGGGATGTTGCAATAGTCATTAAGTGTGAAAAAGGCTCATAAGTCAGTTATTTTCAGGACTGCTGTAATGTAGCTTCCAATGATGGAGGAGGAGGAGGAGAAGGAGGAGGAGGAGAAAAGAAGAAGAAGGAGAAGGAGAAGGAGAAGGAGAAGGAGGAGAAGAAGAAGAAGAAGAAGAAGAAGAAGAAGAAGAAGAAGGAAGAAGAAGAAGAAGAAGAAGAAGAAGAAAGACAAAGAGGAGGAGGAGGAGGAGAGGAGGAGGAGAAGAAGAGGAGGAGGAGGAGGAGGACCGCTGTAACATAGGTCACTAAAGAAATTGTTGTAAGTCAAGGACTAACTGTACCGCTCAGAATTTAGGCCTTAGCAGCCAATTAGCCAGTGTTTTGACATGGTCGACATGGCATGTATCTCCGTAAAACCAGGAATCATCATTGTTTAACTTGGTATTCCAGCAATTTCTACGATATGAATCCCAGCCCACTTATGTTAGCTGGATCAGGCTGCAGAGAATTCTGCTTAGATAAACTTTCTCCCAAAGTGACGATGCTTCCTTGGAGTGACACAAAAATAACGCCACAGTGAAAACACAAGACAACATAAGCAGGTAATGGTTTCCCAACATCTCCCTTTTTTCTGAGATCCCAGCAAGCATTAAAAATAGCTACTCATGGTTGACTCAAGCAAGGAGGAGGAGGAGGGGGACGGATGGAAATCTTACTCCTTGTGTGAGTGCCACACACACAATACACATAACACATCGGTCATTTCTGCAAGAAGACAAACAAAATCGTTCCCTCTAAAAAAACCCGAAATGGGTGCTTCCTTATCAGCTAGCCTACACCAAGGTTGGTCAAGGCAAGCAGAGAGTTGGGGAAGGTGCTACTGAGCTGGCCTCTTCAACAAGAGAGCCTCTGGTTGGACTCTGGGTAGCAGAGTGGGGAAGGGAAAGAAATACAGCATGAGACCAAGCCAAGGAGAGGAGGAGGCAGGGCAACGAGGACCATAACAGAAGCAGGAGCCAGCAGTCCATCCATGGAGTTTAAAGCCTTGGTAAGTGAGCTAGCCAGACTTAAATGACATGGAGCCAGAGGATGCAGTGCCTTAAGAAGAGAGGTTAGGTGGTTTGAAACGGAGAGTGTTGGGGGCTTTCAATGGTTAAAATGGGCTTTTCTGGTTTTGAACTTGCACTGGCACCAACTGTAGCTCTGAGCTCCAGATTTTCCAAACTGGGGCTTATAATGGAAGGGAAGGGAAGGCAGAAGAGGAGAGGAGAGGAGGGGAGGGGAGGAGAGGGGGAGGGAGGGAAGGGAAGGGAAGGAGGAGGGGAGGGGAGGGGGGAGGGGAGAGGAGAGGAGAGGAGAGGAGAGGAGAGGAGAGGAGAGGAGAGAAGAGAAGAGAAGAGAAGAGAAGAGAAGAGAAGAGAAGAGAAGAGAAGAGAAGAGAAGAGAAGAGAAGATTGATTTTGGTCATAGACCAAAAAAGTCCTTTTACACAATACAGAATAACAGAGTTGGATGGGACTTTGGAGGTCTTCTAGTCCAACCTAAGCAGCAATCCCTAGGCCATTTTGGACAAATGACTGTCCAATCTCTTCTTAAACGCTTCCAATGATGGAGGAGGAGGAGGAGGAGAAAAGAAGAAGAAGAAGAAGAAGGAGAAGGAGAAGGAGAAGGAGAAGGAGAAGGAGAAGGAGAAGGAGAAGGAGAAGGAGAAGGAGAAGGAGAAGAAACACGAGGAGGAGGAGGAGGAGGAGGAGGAGGAGGAGGAGGAGGAGGAGAAGAAGAAGAAGAAGAAGAAGAAAGAAGAAGAAAGAAGAAGAAGAAGAAGAAGAAGAAGAAGAAGAAGAAGAAGAAAGACGAGGAGGAGGAGAAGAAGAAGAAGGAGAAGGAGAAGGAGAAGGAAAAGGAGAAGAAACACGAGGAGGAGGAGGAGGAGGAGGAGGAGAAGAAGAAGAAGAAGAAGAAGAAGAAGGAGAAGAAGAAGAAGAAGAAAGACGAGGAGGAGGAGGAGAAGGAGAAGGAGAAGGAGCTTTTGAGTTGGATGCTATGGCGCAAACCTGCTAGGACAAGGAACTTTGGAACATGATGGAGTAGCCTTACTTTGCCCAGGGATGTGTTTCCCAATGTGCAATCACAACTGTTTCCTTCTGGGGTTATGGCAAGAAAACGAAGGCCAGAATTCCTTGTCAAAGAATGTGACATCTTCCATTTGGAGGAATCAGGCATTGCATCCTCTACGTTTAATCCATCATTTAAAAAGGGGAACGTTAGTGGCTGGAGTGGGAAGAAGCGGGAGACAGACAGGCATGCTTTCAAGAGACCAGGTGCCTCTACCTGAGAAGAAGTGAGCTCGGAAGCCTTTCTTGGAAACGGTGTTGTCAGACTTGAATTCAATGCGCATGTTGTTGTACTGGGAGGTGATTACCTCGGGTTTCTCTGCTCCACAAAACTTCCCATGGAGCTTGGCTTCAGAAGTGAGGCCGCTGCGCACTTCCACAAAATCATACTTGCACACCTAAAGGGAAAGGCAAGAGGAAATCATCCCCAGGTTTGGGAGAAGGAGAAGAAAGTGGGAAGAAGCGGCCACAGCAGAGGTGAAATCCAGCAGGTTCTAACCGGTTCGGGAGTACCGGTAGCGGAAATTTTGAGTAGTTCAGAGAACCGGCAAACACCACCCCTGGCTGGCCCAAGAGCGGGATGGGGATTTTGCAGTATCCTTCCCCCAGGAGGGGAGGGAATGGAGATTTTGCAGTATCCTTCCCCCAGGAGGGGAGGGAATGGAGATTTTGCAATATCCTTCCCCTGTCACACCCACCAAGCCACACCCACAGAAGCGGTAGGGAAAAAAAATTTGGATTTCACCCCTGGGCCACAGCCAAGAGTTTGTTCTGCGTTCCGCGTGGGAACATATCTTCCTTCTTGATACCTAAGACCATCCTCCCACAAAGCTTTGGGAGTCTTTAACAGCACTGCTATTGGTTTAATTCCTTCAGGAAAAGTTTCTTTATTAGATCAGCAGTGGCCCAGGGGTGGGATTCGGCCGGTTCTGATCGGGTTGGGTGTACCGGTAGCTCCGACAATCAGCTGAGAGGAAACTGGTTCGCTCCGACAATCAGATGGGCCTGCTCACCCACCCCTGCGCTATAACCTACCTATATTTCTTTTGTGTTAAGCCCAGCTGATAGGCGCGGGAGAGCGGATTGCCGGGCCTCAGCTGTTTTACTCACTCTGGATTCAGTAGAAGGTTACTTTTGATCGTATTGAGCATTCATGGAAGAACGAGTTTGGCGTGTGTGCGCAGCGAACTAGTTGTTACAACCGGTGAATTCTACCACTGCTGTGGCCCTTTTACGACCTGTGGACTTCAACTCCCAGAATTCCTGAGCCAGCCATTTAAATCCACAGGTCTTAAAGTTGCCCTCCACTGTGGATCATGGAGAATAATTTTCTTTTTTTTTTAAAAAAAAAACTACCTTTTTAGGCCAGCGTGATAGCTAACAGCCCCACCTCAACCCACTTCATTCATTCTTCTAAATTTTCTTCCAAACCCATTATTCCAACAGCTATTGGAATAATCAATCATCTTTCCAGAACTAACAATCCATAATACAGAAATATAATCTAGGGCAGGGGTCTGCAACCTTAAACACTCAAAGAGCCATTTGGACCCATCTCTACAGAAAAGAAAACACCGGGAGCCACAAAACTCTTCCCGTGCCAGACTATTTCTTGAGCGGCCACAAAACTAGCATATGTAGTTGAATTAAACATTCTGTTTTCTTCTGAAACTTTTTTCTTTTCTTGGATTTATCCATAGTTGGCCTACCGGGGGTTGAAAAGTTCGATAAATTGCTTGCCGGCGGGTGTCGCACATTGGCGGTTGTGACACATATTTCGAGCGACAGGGAGCCGCAGCAGAGGGTGAAAGAGCCACATGCGGCTCCAGAGCCACAGGTTGCTGACCCCGATCCAGGGCATATGGAAGTAAAGCTGTTTTGGTGACTATCCTGCTGTTGCAGAATAATATTGTTCATAAATCTTCCTTCTACCTTCAGAAAGCAATATAAACCCCCAAGGCACTACGTCTTCCATATTGTTTATTTAATTGGCATCCCATCATCCATCACTGAAAATCCACAGCAGCTCAAGAGTTCCGAGATATCTGTTGTGGCCCACCAGCTGCCAGAGGAGCTTCAGACTCGGAGGACGAGGAGGTTGGGGAGGAACTTGGGCCAGTCCTGGAGTCTGGGGAAGGCTCTGATGGATGCTCTGCGTCAGAAGCAGAGCCAGAGCCAGGGCCATCCGACATTTCCCAGCTGCCTTCGGAGTCGGAGATAAATGGGGAAGAACAGCTGGGGCCTGTTCCAGATGCGCGTATGCGCAGAGCTGTCAGGAGAGGAGAACAACTGAGGAGCAGGGGGCCGACTCGGGAAGAAAGCACACCTGGACACTGAATGGCCCCTCCTTGGTTGGGGAATAAATAGACACAAAAGGGGAGTGGTGGTTGCAGGAGACAACCGTTCGTATTTCTTTCGGAAGATTTGCTTATCGTGGTTTGTGCCTCAGAGACTTCTTTCCAGGAATTACCGTAATTTCCAGCTTTGCGACTGGAAACTCTCGGCCTGGCAATTATCCAAGGACTGATGAGGTCTGCTATTACAATTAACCCTTGGAAGGATTATCGCCTGGACTTTTCTGTGTGTGAATGACATGAATTCTCAGTAGCTAAATAAAGGGTTTTTTCAGGACAAGGAGTCTGTTTCTTGATTCTGGCAAGACTGGGTCAGAACACTATCTATCTGTACTAACACATATATATTTATATATATATATATATATATATATATATATATATGTATGTATGTATGTATATGTATCTTTTTTTCTTTTTTCATAGGCTTTTATGTGCATATTCTCTCTAGCCAGGTTTTACCTATGTAAATTGGTTTCGACATAAGCCTGATGATGGCAGATGGGATTCTGTCGAAACGTCACTTCTACCCTTTTAGGGATATATCCACAATTACACGGGAAGAAACCCGAAATATTAACTATACACACATACATACCCGTGAAAACTTACATAAACAAATATATATATATATATATATATATATATATATATACTGAGAAAACAAATATATATATATATATATATATATATATATATATATATATATATATATATATATATATATATATATATATATATATATAATATATATATATATAATATTTATATTTATATTTATTAAATTTCTATACCGCCCTTCTTCCGAAGGACTCAGGGCGGTGAACAGCCAGAAAATAAACACGGAAATACAAAAATTTAAAATAGATTAAAAACGAATTAAATAATTTGGGCCTTCTTTCCAAAGGACAACACTCACGTCATTGCCTTCTGTCTCAAAGAAGTCAAATAGCAGGGATATGCGATACTGAGTAGGTGCCACCAGCTGCCAGATACAGTTCTTGTTGGGCGGATATTCCTTCGGCCATCCAGGGCTTGTGATGGAGCCATTGAGTTTGGTGAGGAACCCGCCACAGGCAGCTGCAAAATACAAAACCGAACATGAAGGCTGAATTAATCTCATGCCTGGAAGGTTGTCCATAGTTGTGGATTTCTAATTTTAGGAGAAAATGAAGGCAATCAGATTTCTTCACTAAACATCACCAAACTGCCTTCTTTTAGAGCAGGGTGTCTAACCTTGGTGACTTTAAGTTTTGTGGGCTTCAACTCCCAGAATTCCCCAATCTTAAAATGGCCAAGTTTGGAGACTCCCATTCTAGAGGAGGGGGTCTCTAACCTTGGCAACTTTGAGACTTGTGGGCTTCAACTCCCAGAATTCCCTAGCCAGGATTTCAACTCCCAGAATTGCCCAGTGTTAAAGTGACCAAGTTTGGAGACTCTCATTTTAGAACAGGGGTCTCCAACCCTGGCAACTTTGAGACTTGTGGACTTCAACTCCCAGAATTCCCCAGTCTTAAAGTGGCCAAGTTTGGAGTCTCCCATTCTAGAGGAGGAGTCTCCAACCTTGGCAACTTTGAGACTTGTGGACTTCAACTCCCAGAATTCCCCAGCCAGGACTTCAACTCCCAGAATTCCCCAGTTTTAAAGTTGCGAAGTTTGGAGACTCCTATTCTAGAGGAGGGGTCTCTAACCTTGGCAACTTTGAGACTTGTGGACTTCAACTCCCAGAATTCTCTAGCCAGGACTTCAACTCCCAGAACTCCCCAGTCTTAAAGTGGCCAAGGTTGGAGACTCTCATTCTAGAACAGGAGTCTTTGAGACTTGTGGACTTCAACTCCCAGAATTCCTGGGAGTTGACGTCCACAAGTCTCAAAGTTGCCAAGGTTGGAGACTCCTGTTCTAGAGGTTTCTTTTCATATTCAGTGAGGTTTGGTGAGCTTTTTCAGGAGGCTAAGCTTTGAAATCAGGCTATGCAGGTTTTCAGATTTTACTCTAAAAAAGGTTCTTCATTAGAAGGTCAATGTAAACATCTTTCTAGGTCAGGGGTCGGCAACCTTAAACACTCAAAAAGCCACAAAGGAGTCCTTCGGGAGTAGGGCGGTATATAAATCCAAAATAAAGTAAAGTAAAGTAAAAGGTTTAAAGCATGCTAGGTCTTATTTTCGGGATAGGTCTTATTTTGGGGGGCTTATATTAGGTGCACAGGTTTAAAGCATGCTAGGTCTTATTTTCGGGATAGGTCTTAGTTTGGGGGGCTTATATTAGGTGCACAGATTTAAAGCATGCTAGGTCTTATTTTCGGGATAGGTCTTATTTTCAGGGAAACAGGGCATCTACATTCTTGGAACCCGAACAGATGCTTTCTAAACTGCTTACCTTCACACTTGCGTTTGTCGGGAGCCAACTCATAGCCAGGTTCACAGGCACACTTGTAGCTACCCAGAGTATTCACACAACGCTGCTCGCATCCACCGTTGTTTGGTCGTGAGCACTCATCCACTTCTGGAATGACAAAAGCAGTGAAGTTTCAATCTATTTCTTTTTTTTTTTTTTTTTGTGGCTTCTGCCGTAGGCTAAGACTTGGTGGCCTCACTTTAATTCTGTTTCCAGCCTCAGCAGGAATAATCTACTTTCCTTGCGTTCCATCACGGTGAGCTCAAGAGGGGGCTATTTTGATGGAGAGAGAAAGAGAAAAAGGAGTGGAAGAGAAGGAGGATCAAATCCCCATGGTCTAGGAAGAAAGATGGATTGTGATTATATGGCCAGCTGTGCAAAACAAGAATCAGTTCTGGAAACGGAAAAAAAGCTGCTTCTAGGAAATGCAGTAAAAGGGTGGTATACCTAGCAGAGTCGGAAAAAAAACGACATTTTTCCCGTGTTAAGTCTGCCCCCCAGTGGCCCAATACAAGCAGTCCTGCAAATAGAAATATTTCCCTGTTTGTCTACTCCTGCATTTGACAGAATAACAGAGGTGGAAGGGACCTTGGAGGTCTTCTAGTAGGATTTCCTGCCTAAGCAGGAAATCCTACACCACTTCAGACAAATGGTTATCCAACATCTTCTTAAAAACTTCCAGTGTTGGAGCATTCACAACTTCTGGAGGCAAGTCGTTCCACTGATGAATTGTTCTCACTGTCAGGAAATTTCTCCTTAGTTCTAAGTTGCTTCTCTCCTTGATCAGTTTCCATTCATTGCTTCTTGTCCTACCTTCAGGTGCTTTGGAGAATAGATTGGTCCCCATCTTCTTTGTGGCAGCCCCTTAGATATTGGAACACGGCTGTCGTGTCATGCCTAGTAATTCTTTTCATTAAACTGTACCTATTAACAGATTAACAGAGTTGGAAGGGACCTTATAGGTCATCTTGTCCAACCCCCCACTCAAGCAGGAGACCCTACACCATTTCTGACAAATGGCAGTCCAATCTTTTCTTGAAAGTCTCAAGTGATGAAGCTCCCACAACTTCCGAAGGCAACTTCTATTCCACTGGTTGATTGTTCTCACTGTCAGAAAGTTCCTCCTTATTTCCAGGTTGACTCTCTCCTTGTTCAGTTTCCATCAATTATTCCTTGTCTGGCCTTCAGGTGCCTTGGGAAACAGCTTGACCCCCTCCTCTCCGTGGCAGCCCCTCAAATACTGGAAGACTGCCATCATGTCTCCCCTGGTCCTTCTCTTCACTTGACTAGCCATGCCCAGTTCCTGCAAACATTCATCGTATGTTTTAGCCTCCAGTCCCCTCATCATCCTGGTTGCTCTTCTCTGCACTCTTTCTAGAGTCTCCACATCTTTTTTATAGTGTGGTGACCAAAACTGGATGCAGTACTCTAGGTTTGGTCTTACTAGGGCTTTAGGTATTAATACCTCACTTGATCTTGATTGTATCCCTCTGTTAATGCAATTTAGAATTGCATTGACTTTTTTGGCTGATGCTGCACACTGCTAGCTCATATTTAGCTGGTTGTCCACTAAGACTCCAAGATCCCTCTCGCAGTCACTGCTATTAAGCCATACCTAATTTCTGCAACTGCTCTTTGTATGTTTGAGCTTCCAGTACTCTTAATTATCTTTGTTGCTCTTCTCTGCATTCTTTCTAGAGTCTCTACATCTTTTTTACATCGTGGCGACCAAAACTGGATGCCATATTCCAAGGGCGGCCATACCAAGGTTTTATGAAGTGGTACTAATACTTTATAATGTTACATTATAAACATTGCTCAGGATTGCCTTGCTTTAAAACCAAGGTCAGACCCAACCCACGAATTGGCCTCAAGGGCTCTCTCTGACTGCAATGTTGATTTGTGGTTCCCTAGCATTTTTCTACCGGATGTATGTGAAAACTGTTTCATAAAGCTAAAATAGAATAAATACAGCTTTTTTTTTTTTTAAAAAAAGGAAAGAAACCTCTTCCAAAAAAAGTGGGGGGGCATGTATGGAAATTCTTAATCATCCACATCGTGGTTGTTCCAAAAGGCAGTTGGATTTTTTGGTTTTTGTTTTCCTTTGAAAACATTTCACTTCTCATCCAAGAAGCTTCTTTAGTTCTGACTGAGAAGCTTGAATCCTTCCATTCCCCACCATTCAGCCAGAACCTGAAGAAGCTTCTTAGATGAGAAGCGAAATGTTTTCAAAGGAAGAAAACAAAACAAAACAAGGAACTCCGGTTCCCTTTTGGAAAAAGGAGCCTGAGTGGCGTAGGAAGGTAATGCCTCCTACTAAGGCAGCATTTAACATCCAGCTGCCTGCAATTACTGCGAGTTCAATTCTCACCAGGCTCAAGATTGACTCACCTTTCCATCCTTTCTAAGGTGGGTAAAATGAGGACCCGGTTTATGGGGGCAATAAGCTGACTTTGTATAAAAATATACAAAAGTATGAAGGCTATTGCTTAACGCATTGTAAGCTGCCCTGAATCTCCGGAGAAGGGCGGCATATAAAAATCAATCAATAAAAATAATATAAATATAAATATAAATATAAATATAAATATAAATATAAATATAAATATAAATATAAATATAATATAATATAATAATAATAATAATAATAATAATAATAATAATAATAATAATAATAATAAAGCACATTTGGGACAAAAATAGGGGGAAAAATAGCCAGCCTAGCTCAGGTTTAGATCTCCCACACCGTGGTATCACCCTATCTGCTATGGTCCTCAGGCCCTCCACGGCCGTTGGCCATCAAAGCATTGCCCATCCTTACTTTAAAATTCAAATATTTTCTTTTGGTTCACCGGGATGATCAACCTGAGCTTCTGAACCCCATTCAGAAACAACCCTCATGAGGACAGCCATTTCTCATTGCTCTGTTTGGCTTCCAGCGAGGTACGGGACCTTATCCTTCTAATTAGGCTTTAGAACAGGGGTCTCAAATTCAAGGCCTGTGGGCCTGCGGGGTGCTTAGATGTGGCCCACAGGGCCACTCTGGAAACAGCAAAGGACTTTGCCAGCGGAAACAGGCTCCCGATCTCCGTTTTTGGCTGGGATGTCCTCCTGCAACCCTCTGCCAGCAAAAACAGAGCTCGGGAGGCCCTCCCGAGACATCCCAGCCAAAAACGGAGATCGGGAGCCTGTTTCCGCTGACAGAGTGCTCAGGCCGCCACAGGCGCCCCCGACATGAGTGACGTCAGGCTGGCCACGCGCACCCCGGCCCCCCGAGGTCAAACACAACCCTGATGCGGCCCTCAATGAAATCGAGATTGACACCCCTGCTTTAGAACAAAAAAATATAATGTTACACCTTCTCCTCTTATCACCCAAGGGTATGTGTGTGTGTAAATCAGAAGATCTGGACACTACTTCTCTATGACACAATCCTCTCTACTTTGCATCAATCCTTTGTCAGATAGCGTTGCCCTCTCCGCAATTGTAAAGCTATAAAGTGCGGGTGCTGCTCATCCAAAGATTATCCAACCCAAGGGAGGGGAAAGAGGAGTAGGAGAGAGGGTCAGATGTCAGCATTTACTCTAGTGCTGACATAAGAAGGAGAAGCAGAGGCGTCTGGAAAGGGACGTTTGACTTTTCACCTACTTATTTTCCCTGAAGATAATATCCCCTAGGAGATGGGATGGGAGGGGGGAAATTCCTTTGAGCTGGAGCAGTAGATTAGGGGTAGAGTGACTTGGAAGATGGCCAATGAGTGCAGAGGAGTGGAGAAAGGAAAGGGAGGGTTTTGGGTCAGGAAGTCAGTGTTAGCTACGATGGAGTCGGAGTTAGAATGTCGTGCTTAATAAATGGGAGTTTTTCATCAAAGACTTTGTTTGAAATGCAATTTATTTGAGACAACCTCGAAACCTGACATCAGAAAGGGTGGAAGAAGAGAGGAGTGGGGCAGGGGTGAAATCCAGCAGGTTCTAACAGGTTCTGGAGAACCGGTAGCAGAAATTTTGAGTAGTTCAGAGAACTGGCAAATACCACCTCTGGCTGGCCCCAGAGTGGGGTGGAAATTTTGCAATATCCTTCTCCCAGGAGGGAAGGGAGATTTTGCAGTATCCTTCCCCTGGAGTGGGGTGGAAATGGAGATTTTGCAATATCCTTCCCCTGCCACGCCCACCAAGCCACACCCACAGAACCGGTAGGGAAAGATTTTGGATTTCACCTCTGGAGTGGGGGAAAGAAAGAGGAAGTAGGAAAGAGAAGGAGAGGAAGAATGAAGAAAGTAGGAAGAGAGAGAGGAAGGAAGAGAAGGGGAGGAGGAGAAGAAAAGGTGGCAAAATAAAGAAGGGTAAATGGTGAAAGAGTAGCCCCGAACAACTAAAAATAAAAGTTAAAAGATGAATGGAAAATGATGGATAAAAGATTGTACATCTAAATATGTTTATGAGAAATAAAAATAAAAACTTCTTTGGAAAAAAAAAAAGATTATCCAACCCTGCATTGAATAATACAAGCTCTATATACCCTACCTTTGAAGTAGTTAACCGCAAAGCCAGCCTTGTTGATGGACCCATCAGACACAAACCTCATCCATAACTTGTTGGAGGTGCTCTTGATATCATCGGGCCTGTCATAACCACAATACCTTCCAATCACAGGGTCTGACTCTGAACTGCCATCCCGAATCTCCAGGTAGTCGTAAGCACAATTGTCGTGACGCTCGATCTGTGGAGATGTGGAAAAAAAGGGAGGAGGACATGGACATCTCGATAGAGTGCTGAGTTTTCTTTTTGAAAATGTCTATCAGCTCTTGGTGGCATCTTAATCTATTTTAAGACATGGTAGCGCATGTTGTGGCTCCGTTGCCTGAGCCTGGGCTATCAACAGATGCAGACTCTGAGAATGAGGGAGAGGAGTTGGCAAGGCCTCCCTCTCCAGGACCCTCCTCTCTGGCAATGCCTCCGGAGGACACCAAAGGCCAAGAGATAGGCCCAGAGCCAAGCACGTCCCCGCAGCCATAGGTGGACAGCGACGAAGGAGATAAGTGCTGGCTGGATCCTCGACAGCGGCGCAGGGAGAAGCGTGTGCAGCAGAGGGGAAGACGTGCCAGAGATTAGCTGAGTCACTGGACCACACCCCACAGGGTATAAATGTGGGTGTGGTGGCTGGTTCAGTTTGTGACGAGCAAAAACTAGAAATAATCCATGATCTCTGCGTTACTGGACTTCTGCTTGCCTTGTCGGACTACATTTGGACTAATCCTTGTATTGCTGAAACTTTGCCTGCTTTATCGGAATGCTTGCAGTCTAATCTTTGTTTTGTGTGAGTAAAGTCTGAATTGGCAGCTAGCCACTGGGTTGTTGCCAGCTTTATCTTCAAAGACTTTGTCGTGTGGCTTATTAATTCCGGGCCGTCTTTGGGGGTGCGTGTGTGGGATGGGGACAGAACAGCGCAGTGGTTAGAGTGCAGTACTGCAGGCTACTTCTGCTGCCTGCCTGCAATTTGGCAGTTGAAATCTCCCCAGGCTCAAGGTTGATTCAGCCCTCCATCCTTCTGAGGTCAGTAAAATGAGGACCCAGATTGTTGGGGGCAATAGGCTGACTCTATAAACTGCTTAGAGAGGGCTACCTCCTTGTGGTAGTCCTCAGCATACCACCATTCATTTAGTGACTGTTTGTGGCACTAGGAAAAGTGACTTATGACCGTTTTTCACACTTATGGCCAGTAGTGGGATTCAAATAATTTAACAACCGGTTCTCTGCCCTAATGACCAGCTGGGTAGGTGTGGCTCGGTGGTCATGTGATCATGTGGGCATGGCCAACTCAACATCACTCAGGTCGATGGGCACTTCGCCTTAGCTGTTACAATGTAATAAGGGTTAACCAGAGAGGCAGTTTCTGTAGGCAGGGCAATAAAGATTAGGCTAGAAACAACACCAGAACGTTTCCTTCCTGCCTTCCTTACAGGATTAGCCCTGTAAAGTGGAAAAAAACAAAAGGAAATTTCTTCCAACAACCGGTTCTCCGAACTGCTTAGAAAGTTAACAACCGGTTCTCCCGAATAGGTGCGAACTGGCTGAATCCCACCACTGCTTACAGCCCTTGCAGCATCCCCATAGTCATGTGATCAAAATTCAAGTGCTTGACAACCGGCTCATGTTTATGACGGTTGCAGTATCCCAGCATCACGCGGTCACCTTCTGTGACCTTCTGAAAAGCCAAGTCAATGGGGAAAGCCAGATTCATTTTACAACCGTGTTACTAACTTAACAACTGCTGCAGTGATTCACTTAGTGACTGTGGCAAGAAAGATGGGGCAAAACTCACTTAACAACCGACTTGCTTAGCAAGGCAAATTTGGGGCTCAGTTTTGGTCATAAGTCAAGGACTGCCTGCATTCTACTGCTTCTCTCCAGCTCTGCATCGTCCTTCCATTTTTAAAGAAAGGGATGTTAGTCTCTTTTCCTCGGTCTCCTGAAGCTCCAGTTATAATTAATATTAGCTTTTCTCCCTGTTTGCATTTTCAAAAATATGCTCATTCATGTAAATACACACTGAATGCTCAGCCAGTTTCGCTGTGAGACTCACTGTGGCCTTGCCTGTCTTTATGAATGAGATAAAACTCAACCCCTTTTTGATATTACGGTATGGTAGCAGTGGTGGATTTCAATTTTTTTTTACTACTGGTTCTGTGGGCATGGCAGGGGAAGGATACTGCAAAATCCCCACTCTCTCCCCACTCCTGGGGGAAGGATACTGCAAAATCCCCATTCCCACCACACTCCAGGGGAAGGATACTGCAAAATCCCCATTCCATCCCCACTCCTGGGGGAAGGATACTGCAAAATCTCCATTCCCACTCCACTCCTGGGGGAACGACACTGCAAAATGAAGAGCCTTGGTAGTACAGGGGTTTAAGGCACCCTGTTATTAAGCTGGTTATTAAGACCAGCTGCCTGCAATTACTGCAGGGTTCGAATCTCGCCAAGGCTCAAGGTTGACTCAGCCTTCCATCCTTTCTAAGGTAGGTAAATTGAGGACCCAGTTGTGGGGGCAATAAGCTGACTTTGTATAAATATACAAAAGGATGAAGGCTATTGCTGAGCACATTGTAAGCCGCCCTGAGTCTTCGGAGAAGGGCGGCATATAAATCAAATTATTAAAAAAAAAAAATCCCCATTCCCTCCCCACTCCTGGGGGAAGGATACTGCAAAATCCCCATTCCCTCCCCACTCCTGGGGGAAGGATACTGCAAAATCTCCATTCCCACCCCACTTTGGGGCCAGCCAGAGGTGGTATTTGCCGGTTCTCCAAACTACTCAAAATTTCCGCTACCGGTTCTCCAGAACCTGTCAGAACCTGCTGGATTTCACCCCTGTGTGGTAGTCTTAGCGCAAATGCTAAAACGCTATGGGAATTTCTTCTGATACCTCAAAGGACAGGAACGTGAGGCCGACGTGGTATCCTTCCAAAACAGTAATCTTCCAAGTACACAATTTATTGGGTCGATAGTCATCAGGGTAGTTGGGAGACTGGATGTGCCCGTTGTCTTTCTTCATGTCTCCTCCACAGATGGCTGGAAGAAAAATATTTATTGCATTGATAGCTTTATGATCTGTCCCCGTCTACACACACACACAAACACAGCCAGCCGAGAGTTAAGAAAGTACTTGGCACGCACACAGGTCGTTATCTCAAACTTGGCAGCAATATAATCACCGTCTGCCAAGAGCTTTTACTGCAACAGATAACATAAAATTACATACGCATTGCAAATAGTCCAGCAAAACAATATCCCTTTCGGCTGCTTCAGACGTTGTTCAAGTGACTAGCCAAAGTTCATTTTTGTTCGTCACGGGGTTTTACCAGCCACCACCCTCTCTTATATAGTCTCTGGGGTGTGGTCCAGTGACTCAGTTCTAATCCCTAGCACGCCTCCTTAACTGCTGCAACCGTTTATCACGCCTTCGTTGGCGTGCATCCAGGAATGACGGCTCTCCTTCGCTCTCATCCGAGACACCTGGCTCCTGGCTAATCTCCTCTCCCTCGGCCGGCACCTGAGACAGTGCCAGAGGGGAGGGGCCTGGAGAGGGAGGCCTGGCTGACTCCTCTTCCTCATGTTCGGAGCTTTCTTCCTCCGATGAGATAGGCTCAGAGGGCGGGGCCACAACAACAGGTGCCCCCAACACGAGTGATGTAGAGCCTGCCACGCCCACCCGGGCCCTCGAGGTCAAACACAACACTGATGCGGCCCTTGATGCAATAGAGTTTTACATCCCTGTTTTAGACAGAAGGTGCTTAAGAGGAACTGTTAGAAGGCATTGTGCAGCTATTCGTTAATTCCCTTCTAAAATGCCTTTTCTGTCATATTAACAAATATTACATTAGTGTACATTATAACCTGTACATTATAACAATAAAAATAAAACATAAGACACACATCCTTCGCATTCTATACAATTGAATTAAAAACCCCTGATATTGCATTAATATTGCACTATACCGTTGAATTCAATATAGTTACTGCTCTGGGATAGAAGTTGTTTTTCAGCCTATTTGTTCTTGTCTTTATTGTCCTGTACCATCTGCCACCCTTCAAAAGAAGGGTGCCCAGGATGAGATGGATCTTTCAGAATGTTTTGAACTTTCTTAAGGCAGCGGGAACTATAAAGCTCTTCCAAAGAGGGGAGAGGGCAATCAATGATCCTCTGGGCAATGACGTTGACCCTCTGGAGCGCTGTCCTATCTGCCACTGTGCAATGGGCAAACCATACACAGGTGCAGTAAGTTAAAATACTCTCTATGGTGCAGCGGTAGAAGGTACCTTCATAGACTGCAAAGAATCCTTTGCCAACCCAGTTGCTGCTGCTGCGGAATTCGATCCAAAGGCGGCTGTCGGTGGAGAGAATAGAATCCGGGAGTTTATTTCCACAGAATCTACCTAGAGAAAAACATACACACACACACATCATTGTGTGAGTTTATTATGATGATTTATTATTTATTTCACGGCAAAACATTGATTGAAGAACAGCATGTATTTTTGTTCTGATCAGCTAACTTTTTCCTCCCCGATACAGTTTCCTGTAAGTGGAATCTTGGAAGCAGGATCATCTCCCCAAAATGCAAAGGATATTTGCAAACCTGTTTGAATATTAATAGCTCGGATTGGTAGTTAGGTTTCTGGTTTGAGCTCTGAGCATGGCAATTTGGTTGCAAACGTTTCGTCACCATTCGAGGAGACGCCGTCAGTGCGTTTCAACTCAAAGCGCACTGACGACGTCTCCTCGAATGGTGACGAAACGTTTGGAACCAAATTGCCAGCCTCGGAGCTCAAACCAACAGCCTAATATTTGTAAAAAAAATAAAATAAAAATGTTACACCTCCAGAATGTCCCAAAGGTGCTTTTTCAAGAGACAACTGGATTTCCTTGTTTTTCTTTGACGACGCTGAAGAAGCCTCTTGGATGAGAAGCGAAATGTCTTCAAAGAAAAACCAGGAAGTCCATATGCCTCTTGAAAAAAGCACACACCACATCACAACTGGGTTCTGCAAAGGGGAAGGAAGCCAATCAATGAGCCTGAGAGATGTTTTGATTGTTAAATATGTTCCTCAATGAGATTTGGCCACATGTACGACCACCAATACGTTCTCGCTGATTACCTCGTAGGGGAGCTTTCCTCCAGAATCCGTCTCTCACCTCCACGTAGTCATACCAACAAAGCCGGCTGCGGTATAGATCCAGGGATGTAAAGTTCAGAATGATCTGGAAAGCAACCAGAGGTTATACCACCCTGAGTAGGAAGCAGGCCCTAAATCGTACTTTGGCATACACTACATATTTTCTATTTCTTTCACGAGTTAACATTTCGAGGAACATAAGCCATGTTTTGTCAAGCGCCAGAGAAATCACCAGACCCAGATAGTTAAAATGGATATAAAGATTGATCACAATGTTAGCGTTCCAGAAAACCCCCCAGGTCCAAATAAACAAAGTTTGAACAAAACTTAATTTACTAAAATAACTCAGTCTTTTTCAAAACAAAGGCTGTTAATAAACTTTCTTAACAGCCTACAAGAAACCAAAGATAAAGTAATCACAATCTTACTAAGGTTGGCAGAAAGCCCAGAAGCAATTTGCAGAGAATCCAGACGTGAAGTAGAGTGAACTAAAGTTGTTCCCTACAAATTGCTTCAGTCGGCAAGCCTCCTTAAATAGGCTAAGGGAGTGGCCAATTAGCCCCAAGCCTTACTCTCAAGGAGACCTCCTCCTGAGGAGCCACTCCTGCCTTTTGGCAGCTCTGCGCGCCCGTGCATTGAGAAGAGGCTCCTCCTCTTCATCTTCTTCACTTAAAGGAGCTTCTGGAGGTTCTGAAGGCCCTGGTTGAATCCCTGCCTCTGGCACCACATCTTCTCCAGCCTCCTCATTGTCTGACTCGAGTGCCAGCTGCACAGGCTGCTGGCGCAACACCACACCAGCCTCCTTGCTGTCAGAATCAGCTACAATCCGCACAGGTCATTGACGGGCCACAACAAGTAAAGACTCTGAAGCAAACATTTTTCAAAGTTCTATTTACTAGAATAGGTAAACTGGCATATCTGAGAAAACCCGAATCTGAGAGGTCCGGGTTTTACCTCAGTAAATCAAACCCCCCAAAACCATCCCCTCACTCCTCAGTCGATCTCACATGCTCCAATCAACCACCGTCCTATCTCGAGACATCACTCTGACCACTCCTTCTCCAGATGCAGGATCGGCTTCACCTTGACCAACAGGAAGAATGCTATTATGTCTACAGACAAGCCCTCTACTAAATCCCCCCTCCTACTTTCCCACACATGAGAAGGTGGCAGCATGGAAGCTTCCGGCCTAATATGGCTTCCAAAGCTGACACGCGAGCTTAAACTGTCGGCAGGAATCTGAACTACTAACAAACAGTCAAAGCAATTTGGCGGCAGATAAGGAATTCCGGGAGGTGGGGGGGAATGGACTTAAGATTTCTTGTGGATGCGAAGGGATCTGTGACTGATGACGCATTTGACCCCTCCCTCAGACTCAGCCTGGTTCATCTCTTACACCTTTAACAGTCTGCTTTCCAACTCCTAAATAGCATTCCTCTTCTATGCCAAAATGTAGGAAAGTACAAGCAGCCTTGGACTTACAACCGTAAGGGAGCCTGCCCATCACAGACATAAGTCCTGATGACACACTTAACAACTGTGTTTCTAACTTAACAACTGCAGTGATTCACTTAAAAACTGTGGCCAGAAAGATCGTAAAATGGGGCAAAATTAACTGAACAACTGTTCTGCCCCAGCTCCGGATTCCCAAGGATTGTGACACACACCAACGGTCCTTATCAAAGTTATAACGTACCAAGAATAAACAAAGTTCGGCAAAGGTTGGTAACCAGCCCAGAAAACAAGATACGATAAGACATTTACTTTCCAAAATGCTCTGTAATAATTACACGTTGTTTCCAGCAAGAAATTACTAACTGCGTGCGACTTAAATAGGCTAAGGGAGTGGCCAATTATCCTCCAACCTTACTCTCGAGGAGACCTCCTCCTCCTTAGTAGCCACTCCTGCCTTTTGGCAGCCCTGTGTGCTCGAGCATTGAGGAGAGGCTCCTCCACTTCGCTCTCTCCTCTTGAAGGAGCCTCTGTAGGTTCTGAAGGCCCTGGCTGAGTCTCTGCCTCTGGCACCACATCCTCTTCAGCCTCCTCGCTGTCCGATGTGAGTGCCGGCTGCTGGCGCAAACCCACACCAGCCTCCTCGTTGTCGGGATCAGCCACGATCCGCGCAGGCTGCTGGCAGGCCACAACAACAACTGTCTTGCTTAGCAACAGAGATTTGGGGTTCAAGTCAAGGACTACCTGCATGTTCTTTTGTTACGTGTGGAAAACAAGTTGGCTGGAGACATTCCTGAGCCAGGCAGTTAAGCTGTGCCAAACTAGCAGTAATTTAGACTCCGTAATCTTAAAAAATGGTCCCAAATCTCTAGGCTTGATTCAGAATTTGCCTGACATGAAGACTTGGATGCTTTTCCAGAAAGAATATTCTTTCCCAAGCCAGAGAAAACAGAGATAATCCCAATGAATTACATTACAGCATCGCATGAGATAGTAAATATGGCAGAAGAACCTAAGGAGAGAAAATGTTAGTTACTGTCTGCTATCTTCATCAAGTACTGACACAATTGCAATAGGGCAGTGATGGCTAACCTTTTTGCCATCGCGTGCCAAAAGCGGGGGGAACGTGGTGGCGCTGCGCACACACGTGCCCCCACCCATAATTATATGCACCCCGCCCCCCCATGCATACACATGCGACCCCCCGCGCTCGCCCCGCTTTTGGCATGCGATAGCACGGTGAGCTCAGTAGGCCCGTTTTTCATCCTCCCCAGGCTCCAGAGCCTTTCTAGGAGCCTGGGAAGGGCGAAAACGGCCTTCCCCACCCCACTGGAGGCCCTTCGGAGGCCGGAAACAGCCCATTTGCTGAGTTCTGGTGGGACCAGGAGGCCCGTTTTTCGCTCTCCCCAGGCTCCAGAGCCTTTCTAGGAGCCTGGGAAGGGTGAAAACGGCCTTCCCCACCCCCCTGGAGGCCCTTCAGAGGCCGGAAACAGCCCATTTGCTGAATTCTGGTGGGACCAGGAGGCCCATTTTTCACTCTCCACAGGCTCCAGAGGCTTTCTAGGAGCCTGGGGAGGGCGAAAATGTCCTTCCCCACCCCCCTGGGAGGCCCTCCGGAGGGCGGAAACAGCCTGTTTCCTGACTTCCGGTGGGCCCAGAAGGCCTGAAAATCAGCTGGCCAGCACATACATGCGTGCTGGAGCTGATCTCACGTGCCCACCGATATGGCTCCGTGTGCCATCTGTGGCACGCGTGCCATAGGTTCGCCATCATGGCAATAGGGCATCTGTTATTTCTTCTCCTTACTCGAATTTTGAAAAGATGATGTACATACACATCTTTGTAATGATGTGGGAGGGGGGGAAACTCTATGAAATATGCTAACGTAGATTTGAACCCTTCTCCTATGGCAAGCAGCTGACATCTTGGCTTCCCAATATTACAATAGGTTTATATTCCAGGATGATGAACTGCCTCCAGCTGTTTCTCTGTTTTTTTTCCCCCCATGTTCTCAAAATAGGATGAGGAAACATGATACCAGAAGCAATATTAAAAATGGATTAAGAGAGGAAGGGACTGGGATTACGGGAACCTGATGTCCTCCGTATGTTTTGAACAACTCCTGTCAATCCTTGCTATTTGCCATCCTGACTGGGGCTTATGGGAGTTGGAAGTGCAAAACATCTGTAATACATTAGGATAATTTTCTCTGCAACAGCTTTTTTTGGGGGGGGGAGAGGAGAGTAGCTGTCCGAATTGACAGACCCAGTTAAACTGTAATAAGGTGATCTTAGGTTACGTTGGTTCATCTTTTAGGTGGCTCTAACTTCAATGGGACACGGTGGCTCAGTGGCTAAGATGCTGAGCTTGTCAATCAAAAGGTCAGCAGTTCAGCGGTTCGAATCCCTAGCACCGCGTAACAGGGTGAGCTCCCGTTACTTGTCCCAGCTTCTGCCAACCTAGCAGTTCGAAAGCACGTAAAAAATGCAAGTAGAAAAATAGGGACCACCTTTGGTGGGAAGGAAACAGCGTTCCCTGCGCCTTTGGCGTTGAGTCATGCCGGCCACATGACCATAGAGATGTCTTCGGACAGCGCTGGCTCTTCGGCTTTGAAACGGAGATGACCACCGCCCCTTAGAGTCAGGAACGACTAGCGCATATGTGCGAGGGGAACCTTTACCTTTTTTTACCTTTACCTGAAGGCAATAATTCCCAAGAGAAAGCATTCCTGGCAAAGAAGACCAGGAAGACCAGCATTTTGTAAAATGGTTTGGATGATTTCACAAAAAAGGGGGGAACCAAACCAGCATCTACCTTTTCCCCCGGTGTGACGGATATCCTCCAGATACAATGCTTGTGTTCAGAATATCCATTGGGGAAGTCAGGTGAGGAGAAATTCCCTTGACTGTCTTGCAGTGTTTCTCCACAAGCTGCAGGAGAAAATGAAAAAAAAAAAAAAGGAAACACAAAAATAAATATACATAAATAAAAAGAATAATAAAAACAGGAGACTGCCTGAATTTAGGATCTGGCCCCTCCAGCAGCCAAATCAGATGACAAGGCGTCGTCGGAATCTTGCAAAGCTTTCAAGTTGCCCTGAGCAGGAGGGAGGGAGAACTGAAGGGAATTCCATACATTCTTTCTCACCGCAATCAGAAGGAGGGTATTAGGTTTCACAGCCGGCCAAAGTGGTTAATTGGAGAATGTGATTTATGACATGGCCAGAGAGGAGGGGAGAGACAGGGTCATAGGGGAACGTAAATCTACGTGGGATCAGTCCTAACTGCATCCGAGTATTGCCGGAATGTTGCTCCTAATAAATGACTATATTTCCTTTGAAGTTTGGATCATGGCTCATGAATTAATTAGGGCATCTTTCGGAAACTTGACAGGTCAGCATCAAGGCTGCTTGAGAGCTCTGAGGGGGAAGAGAGAATGGAGCTGGCAGAGAGAGAGAGAGAGAGAGAGAGAGAGAAAGAGAGAGAGAGAGAGAGAGAGAGAGAGAGAGAGAGAGAGGCGGAGCCTGAGCCGTCCATCAGCCCTCAGATGGAGAGCCAACAGCCCCCAGGTCTGGAGGTGGCTGATTAGGAAGAGGAGGAATAGCTGGGTCCAGTGCCTGACATGTGGATGCGCAGAAGGCAGAGGAGAGGAGACCAGTGGAAATCTATGGGACGGTCCTTGGGACGGAAGAGACACTGCTGCTAGCGAAGCCCTACCCTAGCTTTGGGGATAAAAGGCAGGGGGCAGAGATGAATATATGTGGCAGACAACTATTCATCTCCCTGCTGGACAGATTTGTTAGCCTGCTGTGAGAGAGAAACTTTTTGCCGGGGCTGCCGGGGCTGCCGGCGCTCCTAAAAAAGGAAACATTGCTTCAACTACAGAGGGTTTGTCGTATTTGGGGAGCTGGGTCAGAACAGATCCCCCCCAAAAAACATATTCTTAAGGCGATCCAAGGGATTCCAATTTCAGGAACCGAACAAGCTGTTTCTAGAGTTCAGGCATTACCAGATTGTTATGGGAAAAATGAAACTTGTCCTTCTCGAGAATATTTCCTGTCCATTCGGTAGTCTAACTCAGTTAGAAAACTAGGTGTAAATTATGACCACGTGGACAAGATTTGCACACAAATGCCCTTTCTCCAATTAAATGCCAAAGTAACACAAATTTCCACGACGAGAAAACACACAGCCTTGCAAAAGGCACACTTTAGTTTTATAGATATCGATTTTTCAAGGTCAATTTTCTCCTTCGCAGGGGCAGCATCAACAAAGGATGACCAGCTCTCCTTTTCCTCCCGTTCTCTAGTTTCTGAGATTTGCCCAGGCATGGGTGACATACTTTTCATTTCCATCCTATCTTTGCCATTGTGCATTGAGAAAGAAGAGCACGTATTTTCACAACACCGGTTCCAACATCATCCTACTTAAGGTAGGATGCGTAGAGGAGGGATTACAGAATTGCCCTAGTCTTCCTCCAATGAACTGCATCCGCTACTACTTACCGTATTTCTTATCTCTTGTTTGGCTCCTGAAATTGGCTCTCATTTGTGATAAGTCCCTACCACCACCCCCACAATCCTCCCCCAAAGTATCTAGAGCTTGTTCTGCAGCTGTGAAGGTAACTATGGAAACCAAGGGGATGCCATGTTGCCACAGTGACAGAAGTCGAGACTTGGACAAAGTCAGCGCCATTCTTACAAGACTTTTCATGTTCTCCTGTGTTGCTGCGTTCTTCCTTTTACAGCAAAACGACAGGGGGTCCAGATTCTTCTGAGAAACAGACCCTCTTTCTCTCTCCCCCCCTTTTTTTTCTCCAGACATGCCAGAGCCCCAATCCTACCCAGATCTTTAAGGTCCATGATGGCACCGATCCAAACTCCCATTCCTTGCAAACTCCCCTCGAGACATAGAAGTCAACTCCTCCTGCCTATCACGTCTTATTAGGTTCAAAATTTTATTAGTTTATCGAAGCATAAGATAGAAAAAAAAATATTTTGGGGCAAGGCACGATTCGAAGTTGATTTTGTGTGCGTGTTTGACTTAGTGTTGATTTCTGGTTACAAAAGGTACTAGAGAAAAGTCAGTGGAATTGAAGGAGGCCTAGATTTGCATCATTTGGGACAACTTAATAACTCTAGATCAGTGATGGCTAACCTTTTTGCCATCGCGTGCCAGGAGCGGGGGTGGGTGGGTTGCGCAGGTGCATGCCCACACCCATAATTCTATGCGCCTTGCCCCCACGCATGACCTCCCCCATCTTCCCCCTGCTCCTGGCACGTGATGGTCTCACCGGAAGTTGGCAAACAGGCTGTTTCTGGCCTCCAGAGGGCCTCTTGGGAGGTGGGGAAGGTCATTTTCGCCCTCCCCAGACTCCTAGAAAGGCTCTGGAGGCTGGGGACAGCAAGAAACGGGACTTCCGGTCCCACCGGAAGTTGGCAAATGGGCCGTTTCTGGCCTCCGGAGGGCCTCCTGGAGGGTGGGGAAGGCTGTTTTTGCCCTCCCCAGACTCCTAGAAAGGCTCTGGAGGCTGGGGAGAGAGAAAGGCGGGCCTTACCCACCACCACCCCGAGGTCCTCTGGAGGCAGGAAACAGCCTGTTTCCCTACTTCCGGTGGGCCCAGAAGGCCTGAAAATCAGCTGGCCGGCATGTGCATGTGCGCCAGAGCTGAGCTCGCGTGCCCACCGATATGGCTACGTGTGCCACCTGTGGCATGCGTGCCATAGGTTCACCATCACGACTCTAGACTGATAACTTTCTTAACTCTGCCTCTAATTCTGCTTCTTCTCCTATAAATACATTCTAGAGAGGAAATTTGAAAAATGTCTTGGTTCTCCTTTAACTTGACTTTTAATCTTTAACCCAATCTGAGATAATTGTAGTTTTGTAAAGCCCTATTCTTTTAAAAACTCTTCTAGACTGATTTATGATTTTCACTGAAATACTGTTATATGGACTTTTAATTGTGAAACCTGTTGATTTCTTAGGAAAACATGTTTCAGATTATATCGTGCTGTACGACTGATCTTTGGACAAGAATTTTTTTATTATTATTATTGCCTTTGTAACTGATGCAATTATGCCCAGGCCACAAGAGATCATCTGGGAATTCAGGAGAATTTTATGTAAATTCTCACAAATGGGAAATGTCTAAGAGGAACAAGTATTTGACTCATGCCTCTGACCACATTTCCATGACAAATAGCATATTGGACTGACTGTACATTCTTGGGCCTTGAACTAAGATGTGGAAGTATAAAACAATGGACTATGAGTTATCCATATCTCATGCTGACATGTCAAAACCAACCCACATTTTCTCGATCAAGGCCAAAGGGTCACTCTCTCAGCAAAGATTCCCAAACATCAGATGGCCATTTATGTTGGCTAGAACATGGGTCTCCAACAGGGGTGCTATTCAGCAGGTTCTGACAGATTCTGGAGAACCGGTAGCGGAAATTTTGAGTAGTTCGGAGAACCGGTAGTAAAAATTCTGACTGGGTCCGCCCCCCATCTATTCTCTGCCTCCCAAGTCCCAGCTGATCGGGAGGAAATGGGGATTTTGCAGTATTCTTCCCCTGGATTGGGGACGGAATGGAGATTTTACAGTATTCTTCTCCTGGAGTGGGGTGGGAATGGAGATTTTACAGTATCCTTCCCCTGCCACGCTCACCAAGCTATGCCCACCAAGCCACACCCACAGAACTGGTAGTAAAAAAATTTGAAACCCACCACTTCCAAAGGTAGTATTCAGCCGGTTCAGACGAATCGGTAGTGGAGATAGCCCCGGCTCTATGATGTCCTATTTAGGCACGTTTTCGAGGCAGGGTGCATTCACGGAAAGTGACCGAGCGAGCAAAGCGCCTGCTTTGGTGGAAGGTGTGCGCGCGGGGCGAACCGGTGGTAAGAATATTGGAAACCTAACCGCTGGATGCACCCCCTTCTTCTGTCTTTGATCTTTACATTCGTCTTCCAGAACAGACCTGGGGGTCTTGCGATCCCTTTTGTGATCGTCTGACAAGCAAAGTCCATGGGGAAGCCAGATTCACTTAACAACCTCATTATTTACTTCACCAACTGCATTGATTCAATTAACAAGGATGGCAAGAAAGGTTGTAAGATGGGGCAAAACTCATTTAACAACTGTCTCGCTTAGCAACAGAAATTTTTCGCTCAACTTTGGTCGTACGTTGAGGATTGTTGGTAGTACATTGCACAAAGCCATCAATGCTTTTAGAATAGAATAGAATAACAGAGTTGGAAGGGATCTTGGAGGTCTTCTAGTCCAACCCCCTGCTTAGGCAGGAAACCCTAGACCACTTCAGACAAATGGTTATCCAACATCTTCTTAAAAGCGTCCAGTGTTGGAGCTTTTACAACTTCTGGAGGCAAGTTGTTCCACTGATTAATTGTTCTAACTATCATGAAAGTTCTCCTTAGTTCTAAGTTGCTTCTCTCCTTGATTAGTTTCCACCCATTGCTTCTTGTCTTATCTTCAGGAGCTTTGGAGAATAGCTTGACTCCCTCTTCTTTGAGGCGGCCCCTGAGATATTGGAAGACTGCTATCATGTCTCCCCTAGTCCTTCTTTTCATTAAACTAGACATACCCAGTTCCTGCAACTGTTCTTCATATGTTTTAGCCTTCAGTCCCCTAATCCTCTTTGTTGCTCTTCTCTGCACTCTTTCTAGAGTCTCCACATCTTTAATAGTCCCAACTCCAAACTAGCTCCTTCTTTCAACCCCAATTCTGTTTTTCTCCCTAATAATTTCCCCGCACAGGTCCCATCTCTTTCCTTATATTTCTTCCCTCTTCTTCGTACTGGCTCAATCACCCATTTCCTGCAGGAAACGTTGCATTCCTTACTAGCAAAACAACTCCTTTCTGTTTGTAAACGTCAGTCCTCTCCACGGAGACAGACACCCAGCAGGGGATGGATGGTGGAAAACTCCAAGCCAGATCAGATCTTGGGAATCAAGCAGGAAGCAAGAGTTTCACACACTCCTCTGTCTTTGGCTCCCGATTCCTTGCCTTCTGTTCTGACATCTGTTCGGTTTACAGAGCCAAAACTGGCGTGGACTGGACGGTCTCCAAAAACTTGGGTGACGGTCGGAGCCCATCCATTGCGCTCCAAAGTCCTGCATTATGTCATGCTTCTATCCATTTGAAAAGGGAGAGGTAAGATTGGAGTGAAACCCTGGGGGATTGTGAGATGCAGCAGAAGGATGGAAACATTCTGGGTTTAGCTAGTTACACACAGGCTGACATCAATAATCTGAAGGAAACAAACCTTCTACCATGGTAACACTCCAAAGAGCAGATAGGACACTGTAGTGTACAAGTCAATGGTTTAGTACAGGAGTCAGCAACCTGTGGCTCTAGAGCCGGATGTGGCTCTTTCATCCCTCTGCTGTGGCTCCCTGTCGCCAGTCGGCTCCACAATTGATACGGCTTTCGGTTAGGGCAGGTAGAGGAAAAAGGATGCTAAGCTGGGAGGAGACTCTATGGTGGGGGAACCAAACTTCCAGTCGGCTCCAGAATTGAATTGAGGGGGGGGGACGACTTCCGGTCAGGACCTTTGCGGCTCTTTGAGTATTTAAGGTTGCCGACCCCTAGTTTAGTCTAAAGAAGACAGGGCTGTGGGGAGACATGAAGGTAGACTTCTATGGACTCTCAGGATTGGGCACGATGGCTCAGTGGTTAAAGATTCTGAGCTTTTGTCTACTGGAAAGCTGACAGCCCTGGCTCAAGCACCATCTAATCCAGGGGTGTCAAACTCAATTTCATTGAGGGCTGCATCAGGGTTTGACCTTGGCAGGGCCAGGGGGGCATGGCCAGGGTGAGCATGGCCAGATCGACGTCACTAGTGTCAGGGGCGCCTGTGGTGGTGCAAGCGCTCAGCCAGAGAAAATGGGCTCACAACAGCGGTGGGCTTCAAAAATTTTAGCAAGGGCTTCTCTACCCGGTTGCTGGGGGGCGTGGCCATAGTGGGCGTGGCCTAGTTGGCCTCCTGCACCACAGCAGAGGGGGGCTTTTTGCCCTCCCCTGACTCCGGAGGCATTTCTTGAGCCTCCTGGAGGGCGAAAACAGCCTCCCCAGGCTCCGGAGGCCCTCTGGAGGCCAGAAACGGGCCCCTTTCCAGCCTTCCCAACCTTCCGGTAGGCCCGTGGGGTGGGAATGGAGATTTTGCAGTATCCTTCCCCTGCCACACCCACCAAGCCATACCACGCCCACAGAACCGGTAGTAAAAAAAAATTGAATTCCACCACTGCCCCAATCTAAAGACTCTGTATAACCACTTCTCTAAAATAGAGAAGGACTGGTGAGATCTTCTGGCAATGAAAACTTAAAATTAGTTCAACAGAAACTTAAAATTAAAAATAGAAGCTTCACCCAGAAGCACTTCTAGATTCCTCTTTTGTAAGATGCAACTAACAATACTTACCCGGGCATTTGTAGAGTTTGCGCGCCTGGGCAATATCTCCTTTGCTTAGCCGGGTTCTCTGTCCAATGGAAGGCTGCATCCCATTCACATTATATTTGGGAAGAATGGTGTCCAGGAAGATCCCCCTGAAAAGACACAATGGAGAATATTCTCAGCTTTTGAGCTGCCTTGCACAGGCACGACCAAAAACCTTGGTTCATAAAATAACTGGTGATTGGGAATCAGACATCTGGGGAAAAAAAAGAGATTGGTCATTTTGCAAAAGAGAAAGTAACAGTGATGATGGCTGTCATAAATTTAGGCTTACTTTTTTTTACTTAATCCCTTTTTCCAGTGAATAGATATCCTTTGAACTGATGTGAGGTTAGACTGGAAAGTTATTCATGTTTCATTTTCAATCAATGTGGCAGTCTTTGGGGGCTATCTAACAAAATGAAATTCAATGGTGAAAAAAGTAAGGATCTAAATTTAGGCAAACCCCCCCAAAATCTACAGGTACAGTATATGTGTTACTTTACTCAATGGTAGTAACTGTGAGAGGGATCTTGGAGTCCTAGTGGACAACCATTTAAATATGAGCCAGCCGTGTGCAGCAGCTGCCAAAAAAGCCAACACAGTCCTAGGCTACATGAACAGAGGGATAGAATCAAGATCACAGGAAGTGTTTATAATGCCTTGGTAAGGCCACACTTGGACTATTGCATCCAGTTTTGGTCACCACGGTGTAAAAAAGATGTGGAGACTCTAGAAAGAGTGCAGAGAAGAGCAACCAAGATGATTAGAGGACTGGAGGCTAAAACATATGAAGAACGGTTGCAGGAACTGGGTATGTCTAGTCTGATGAAAAGAAGGAGCAGGGGAGACATGATAGCAGTCTTCCAATATCTCAGAGGTTGCCACAAAGAAGAGGGGGACAAGCTATTCTCCAAAGCCCCTGAGGGTAGAACAAGAAGCAATGGGTGGAAACTAATCAAGGAGAGAAGCAACTTAGAAATAAAGAGAAATTCCCTGACACTTAGAACAATTAATCAGTGGAACAACTTGACTCCAGAGGTTGTGAATGCTCCAAAACTGGAAGTTTTTAAGAAGATGTCAGATAACCATTTGTCTGAAGTGGTGTAGGGTTTCCTGACTAAGCAGGGGGTTGGACTAGAAGACCTCCAAGGTCCCTTCCAACACTGTTATTCTATTTTCTATTTTCTTGATATTATTCCTCTATAGGCATTAACATTTTTTTTAAAAAAATTGATTTATATGCCGCCCTTCTCTGGAGACTCAGGGCGGCTTACAATGTGCTCAGCAATAGCCTTCATCCTTTTGTATATTTATACAAAGTCAGCTTATTGCCCGCACAAACTGGGCCCTCAATTTACCTACCTTAGAAAGGATGTAAGGCTGAGTCAACCTTGAGCCTGTCGAGATTCGAACCTGCAGTAATTGCAGGCAGCTGGTCTTAATAACAGGGTGCTTTAGACCACTGTACTACCAAGGCTCTTTGATGGATGGTGGACTTATATCAAACTTTTACTCTCAAGGATTTCCAAAGGATTTTGAAATAAGAAAGCTAAAGAATGATTAAGGAAATATAAAGAATTTAACCCAAGTATTTCTGGTTGTGTACAAGTTGTCTTGAAACTGGAACAATTACAAAAAACAACAACAACACTATGTAGGCCAACATGTCCAATATTTTTCTAATGACCTACTATGTCTCTCTAGAAAAGGGGTCAGCAACCTGCGGCTCTCGAGCCACATGTGGCTCTTTCATCCCTCTGCTGCGGCTCCCTGTCACTCAAAATATGCATCACAACCGCCAATGTGTGACACCCGCCAGCACGCGATTTATTGAGTTTTTCAACCCCCGGTAGGCCAACCATGGATAAATCCAAGAAAAGAAAAGTTTAAGAAGAAAACAAAGTTTAATTCAACTACATATGCTAGTTTTGTGGCTGCTCAAGAAATAGTCAGGCACGGGAAGGGTTTTGTGGCTCCCGGTGTTTTCTTTTCTGTGGGAAATGGGTCCAAATAGCTCTTTGAGTGTTTAAGGTTGCAGACCCCTGCTCTAGAAGATTCTGATGGCGTTCATTCATTATCATTGTCTCTCTGGGTGGCAAGAGGAACAGTAATTTGATAATCACAGAAATATTAGTAGATCTTATAGATCTTATAGATTATAGAGCACTGAGTTCTGCAATTGTGTTATTACTGTAGCAGGGAATCAAATATTTTATACTGCTGTGATTGCTACTTTTCCATAGATGGAGATGGGAGCTGAAATAGAAACTAACAGAAAATATGGACGGTGGGATCATCATTAGCTATTTCTGTAGTGGATCAATTCCAAGTTGGGTCTGGGTGCATCTGAAAGCTGTGGGCATCCCTCACTTAGGTCTTGATTCCTCTTCTTGGCCACGTCACGCTCACTCATGTCTTCTCCCAAGTTTCCATGTAATTCTTAAACCGGTTGCCCTTATGAAGGATTCCAACTTGGCTGCAAGAACATAGGACGAGTTACTAAAAACAGACATGGATGCCCTTGTAATTAGAAAGGCACAAGGGCGTAAATCCAGGAGCCTCACCACAGGAAAGGAACTGCCCACGCAAAACTTTGCAAGCCTGAACAGTTTAAGCTCTTGCAGTGGTTCTAAAGTGGTTCCAGACCCATCTGACATCACAGGACTAGCTGGTTTAAGCCAAGAATATCTGGTTATACACGAGTTGACTTGAAATTGGAACAATTTTTCTTTCCCTGTCAACCTGTAGATTATGGATGGACTATTTCAGGCTTACATGCCTCTCTAGGAGTCTCTGGAGGCTGGGGACAGCAAAAAAGGTCACTCCCTGTACAATCGGAAGTTGGGAAATGGGTTGTTTCGAGCCTCCGGAGGGCCTCTGAGGGGGTGGGGAAGGCTGTTTTTGCCCTCCCCAGATACATAAAGAGGATCTGGAGCCAGGTGAGAAAGAAAAACGGGACTTCCCCCACCCAGGCCCTCCGGAGGCAGGAAACAGCCTGTTTCCCTAGTTCTGGTGGGTCCAGAAGGCCCAAAAATCAGCTGGCCGGCATGGGCATTTGTGCCAGAGCTGAGCTGGCATGCCAGGCGACATGGTTCGGTGTGCCACGTTTGCCATCACAGCTATAGGGCATTGCACACTAGAGCAACTAGACACAAGGACAGTTTTTTTCCCACATGCCATCACTCTGCTAAACAACTAATTCCCACAACATTACTAAGACTGTATTACTATTATTTTTCTCATCCTTCCTATTACCTATCTCCTTTTCTACTTACAACTATAACTTTGTTGCTTGTATCTTTACAATTTATATTGTTTTATTTAGTTTCCTAGTATGATTTATATTGATTCCTTATTTAGTATCCTATGACTATCATTAAGTGTTGTATCTCATGATTCAGGATGTATATATTTATGATGATCATGATTTATCACTTATATCTTTTATGTACACTGAGAACTTATGCACTGAAGATAAATTCCTTGTGTGTCCAATCACACTTGGCCAATAAAGAATTCTCTTCTCTTCTCTTCTCTTCTCTTCTCTTCTCTTCTCTTCTCTTCTCTTCTCTTCTCCTCTCCTCTCCTCTCCTCTCCTCTCCTCTCCTCTCCTCTCCTCCTCTCCTCTCCTCTCCTCTCTCCTCTCCTCTCCTCTTCCCTCCCTTCCCCTCCCCTCTTTTTGAATCATATAATTTTGCTGAATTTGCAGGTGAGATTTTTATCAACCAGAATCCATCTTATTGATCGTGGTGACATTGACACACTCTGTTTCTTTACAACAGGTCAGACAGTGGGAGACTCAACAATCAGTATCAGGCTGATTGTGGTTCTTCTGGAAAGATCAAACTAGAAAGTAGAGGTTTTTTTGAGAAATCCTGGATTTCCTACGGTGTGAAGCAACCCATTTTGAAAGTTGTGACAATTTTCTCCTAGAGCTAAGACAGTACAGAAGTCATCTCAAGAAATTTACCTGAGGAAAGAATAATTTGAATCACAACAGAAGCCATTAGCGGTGGAAAAAAAACAGCTGCTGGGATCAACCTTTGTGGCTGAGAGCAATTAGGAACAAAAGGAAATGTGTGATAATAGCAGTAATTTCCTACATGTGTCTTTACTGAAGCACTTAATAGATGCCTGAACCTTTTCTGAAATCTCTCCTATATATAGACCTGGAGGAAATATGACCCCAGGTAAAGCTGGGACTAGAGATTTGCAGATTCTTTCTTTAAGCGGCCAGGGAAAATAAATTGGGTCAGCTGGTCTAGACCAAAGAATCAAAGCTTAAAGCTTAAAGATTTTGTTTGCAGAAACAGCAGGAGAAGGTTTAGGACAGGGGTCGGCAACCTTAAACACCCAAAGAACCACAAAGGTCCTAACCGGAAGCCCCCATTCAATTCTGGAGCCGACCGGAAGTCCAGTTCCCACATCATAGTCTCCTCCTAGCGTGGCGCCCTTTTTCCTCTGTTGACTGGAAGTCAGTTCCCCCACCATAGAGTCACCTCCTAGTGTGGCATCCTTTTTCCTCTACCTGTCCTAACCGAAAGCCCTATCAATTGTGGAACCGACCGGCGACAGGGAGCCGCAGCAGAAGGATGAAAGAGCCACATGCGGCTCCAGAGCCACAGGTTGCTGACCCCTTATATTTAGGCTATAATTTCATAATTTCAGGTCTTCAGAAGAAAAAAAAAAAGAAAGTCCAGTTGACTCCTGAAAAAGCACCATTGGGACAAACATGACCTGGATGACTGAGAATCTCTACAGACAATAGTATCTTTGTTGTCCACTGTTCCCAATGTATAGTGGAAAGAAGAAGAAAGATAATTTAGGCCAGGGGTCTCCAACCTTGGCAAATTTATGACTTGTGGACTTCAATTCCCAGAATATAGAATAGAATAGAATAGAATAGAATAGAATAGAATAGAATAGAATTCTTTTGGCCAAGTGTGATTGGACACACAAGGAATTTGTCTTGGTGCATATGCTTTCAGTGTACATAAAAGAAAAGATATGTTCATCAAGAATCATAAGATGCAACACTTAATGATAGTCATAGGTTACAAATAAGCAATCAGGAAACAATATCAATATAAATCGTAAGGATACCAGCAACAA